GAATCAGTGTTACAGTTTGTAGAGGCGTAGGCCGAAATGATAAGCAGGCACCGTTAGTTCCTGCGCGACTTCGAAGCATGAGACGAAGCAGCTAATCAAAGGGCGCACACCCGACTTTTGACTGGGATTCAATCGACCAGGGCAGCTTCATCCACGGGAATCAAAACAATGCCGACGCCAGCTTGACCAGCATTGGAAGCTGCATCATCTCAGACAGGCGCAATGAGAATGTGCCACCAGTGTCGTATGTGGGGGATCGCAGAGAAGCACAGAGCTCGAAGCTTGCAGGTGGGTTTCTGATAAACAGCAAAGATCTTCCGATAGGGTCTATAGTGTTTGCGCAAGTGCTGCCTGTTGGCCAATCTGTAGCAAAGTGTGCACGTTGAGGCATGCCAGTGTTATCGAGACGCGAGGACTACAAAGGGAAACGAATGAACTGACCTTGTCCACTTGGTTGAACAGGGACTTGTCGACTGGGTTGGAGCGATGCCCTGCGACTGTGCGATTTGAAACTAGAAAACAAGCGACTATTCAGGCAAGGTGGGAAAGGGCCAAGAATTGGGGGATTGAAAATGGGGGGATAAAAGTAAAGTTGGAGCGGGACGATAAGGATGAAAGAGCGCAAGAAGGGGGATAAGATGGGAAAGGTTGAACACTAGCGTTCAAACCCCCTGCCCACTCTGCTCAATGCAGCAGATAGGGCGCCGTTTATTATCATCAGCGACGGCCAGACCATAAAGAAATTGTTAGAAGAAAGGCTCATTGTATTGCGTGGGCAGAATACTGTCAGGTTGCCCAGGCCTAGACAGGAAAACGATTAGGGTTCTCAACCAAAGCCTTTGGTTCAAAAACCTTACCGCAAGGCAGCGTGGTTTTGGCACTGGACTAAAGAGAGCCCATTTTATGGAGTAAGGAGTCACAATCACTCCAACCCCCAACCTGAAGGGCCAGGAGACTGAGTTTGTCTTGCCTCTAACCATTGACCAATCGGGTATGAGTGGGTCTGAAGGCGCAAAAAAGCACCACCCAGCATAGCTCAATGGATCAAAGAGGAACACAAACCATCGCACCACGTTATGGTCCAGTCTCGTCCCGATGGCATTCCTTGCGCGCCGGGAGTGCGGTTGGAAGAGAAAGTGGGGAGGCCAAGCGATGATTTGGTTGAGAGGAATGAAAACCCTCACTTTGAAACTGGCGTCCGTTGGTGCATCCCGACTACCTGGCTGGGGTCTTAAGGACGATGAACACGTTTGGCTGGACACACTGGAAGATATGGCGAAGAGCCGGCCCCAATGGCGTCTGGGTTGTGAGTTTCTTTGTCCATCCTCCTCCCTATACTTTCCCCCTCTAATCCCGATCTTAGACGCAATGCGTAATATAATATATAACAGCACATGTTTTGTGATGTAATTTGTGTAATCTGTAGTATTATCTTTTAGTCGCTTATCTTTCTGTATTACGGCACATTAGCTAAGATGGTTTCTCACCCTCAGTTAACGTGTGCTGATGACGGTGACGATGATTGATGATGAGGAGGATGAGATGGTGATGGTGGCGATGATGATGACGATGATGGATACACGTAGACGTGTGTATGATGAGAATTGTGCCAGTAAATCGGATTTTGGTGAGAGGATGGAGAGTTTAATTCCGCCCGGCGCGAGATATCCCAGCGGTACCTGTTATATACCTCACCAGTATCGCCAGATATCCCACCGGTATTGTAGCTGACAAAGTGCCCTCTGTGTCTCATCCAGTGTCGGTGTGCCGACTAGATACAGCTTCATCTCCGGTTGTTGAAGGCCGTGCAACGTAGGCTAGTAAATTGTACAAGCGATGGTTGGAGTGCTTTCGCCAGATCTGCTGTATGGATGAAGGCAGCGTCTGAAGTAGCATTAACCAGCCTCCTTACTGGCTACAAGGTGGTTCCATACATCGCCTTAAAAGGAGTCAAAGAATTCACTATGTTGGCGGCGTTCGGCGTAGCATTCCGTCAGCTTCGCCTTCTCCGTCCACCATGCATTCTTGATGCGACGGAGCTCTCGAGTCAGACGCCGAAGAAACTTGCGAAACTGACTCTCCTTCACGCAGTCAGCAGGGTCAATTACATGTGCAGCGAATGCTGCATTCTTCGCCTATACCAATCCCCCAGTGGTTGCACTGTTGTCAACAAACCAATCAGGCCTCTTACAGTTTGCGGGCCCGATCGTTCTCTCGGTCGCAGTCGTCACCTGTCTAAGGATGTGGTGCCAAAGCTCTGGGACTCATGCGAAGCAGTCGATATCATCAAGATAGGTAGCCATCGCCCTCTTCAGTTACATCGCCTTCTCAGCAATACCTGGGGAAAGTACATTAAATTTATGCCGATTCACAGCAGGCAAGCAATACATAAATTTACGAAAATATATTTACAATTTTGTCCGCACCAACATGTGATCAGTGCCACACTCTGCTCCACGAGGTACAGGTGTCATGCGCATTTCACGCGTGTCACGCTGACGTTCGATGTCATAGTCCAGCGGGTGAGCGTGACCACTCCGTGGATGCATCCCACTACCCAGATCACTCGCATTCAGTGCAAACCAGGTGCTCGTGATCGACAGGCCGTAAGTGGCACATATTTGAGAGCAGCCGGTTACCGTTCGCATTCGCTGGACCAATGCTATGCGGACCGATGACATCTGTCCGCATCGATGCATCGCGCTCAACGTGCGCGTTGAAATCACCCAGCAGAAAGTCAGTCGCTCCTCGGTACAGACCGTACCACGGAGGATAACGCGTGTCATCAGGATAACACATGGTGTTTATAAAAGTGAAAAAGTTAATACTTTCGAGTCGTAGACGAACAGCCATCAGTCGCACGCTGATGCCAGCAGATTGACCCATTAGCTAGCCCTATAGGCCAGCTAAAGCCGACTCCATGTTCACTTGGTGCTGCAATGGCGCTTCCTAAGCAGTACGTGTACCCAGAACCAGCCTCATGCAGTTTCGCTTGCTTAGCGAGCCGAGTTTCAATGAGTGCGGCAATGTCAATGCCCTAGTGCGCGAGTTACGGTAGAGTAATCTGCACACGTTCCAGTACTCGATGTCGAGTGCTTTGCGCAAAGGTGCACAACTGAGCTGAGCAATCGCTCTTGTGGTGACCTGGACCGGAGGAAGTAGCGTGTAAGTATAAATGGGGACGAGGAGGGAATGTGCAGGGGAAGAAGAAATCAGAAAGATATAAGTAGTAGCATGTTATCGCCTATCAAAGCTGTTATATGCGGCAGAAAAGACGACCCTTTTCGTTACCGAACCACTGCGAGACGGCCAATACAACATACCATTATCAGTAATCACTATATGTTAGCTGAGGGCGAGGAACACAACTAAGCTAATGTGTCGCAATACAAAAAAGATAAGAAATTGAAAACTACACTATAAAAATGCAAAAGGCAAGTAACCCTGTTAAACATTAGATTGTGCGTTTTGTATGAGATGTAATTGGAGGGGGAATCTGAAAAGGGCGATGGACAAAGAAAGTCAGAACACAAACAACACTGAGGCCGGCTCTTCTCTATATGAGCAAATGTATCCAACCAAAAGTGTTCATCGTCCTTAGGACCCCAGCCAGGCAGTCGGGATGTACCAACCGACGTCGACTTAGAAGTGAGAGGCTACATTCCTCCTGACCAAGTCATCGCTTGGCCTCCCCTCTTTCTCTTCCAACCACACCACCGGCGCGCAAACAGCGCACGTCACCGGAGTCGGTGAGCTAGTATGCGCAACAAGTGACTCAGCTATGAGAGCATGGTGCGTGGTATAACAGGGCTGAGTGGTTCACTCGCTCTCCCTGCACCAAATATGCGATGCCGAACAGGCTCATTGCTCACGCGGTGCTCTGCCAAATGACAGACTGACAAATCTTGAGTATACGGGAGAAAAGGTTCTTCTTGGGCCTGATGCAGTGGCTGCGAAAACACTACTAAGTAGACTGGCACGTAGAGATGCATGCTTCAGCATGTGCTTTGGCACCTAAAAAGCGCAAAGTATTATCACAGGAATAGAGTGATACGCCATCGATTTTAGCTCCAACGAACAGCCACTGGAAGTGGTGGATTGGTTCACTCTGGTGATTAAATCACTGAGAAGTTTGTTCGCGTAACAAGGTGTGTTTGACATTTCTTCGCGTATCACCAAAGACCATGCGGCTTTCCAGAAGTTAAACAATCTATGGAGACAGTGGGACATCAGCCTGTAAGTGCAAGGTAGGGTGTATAACGCAATAATGAGGCCGGTTTTATTGCATGGACAAGAGAACTGGTCAGTTGCCAGTAGCCTAAAGGTAACGAGCTAGTCTTGTAATCTGACGGCATGGGTTCGAGAGTGCGTAGGGGCAGGGCGACCCTCGCAGTATCCTTAGCCCATGTGCGACCGGTGGTGATTGCGCGGCAGTAAAGCGTCGATTCTGCGTACCGGTGTACTGTTGATGTCATTTCTATCAGTTGCCAATGAAGAGAGTAAACAATTGGCCGTGTTTGATCACCGGGAGTTGCGGAATATCGTGCTCCTTCATTTGGCTTCTTGAATCTAGCCATTAACTTTATTCCATCTCGGTAGTTTAAGGCACTACTTTCTTAATTTCACTCCCTTTGTGTTTTTCATCCGTTTTCTGCGGTTTTTTATTGTTATTCTGGCGACTTGAGTTGCGGCAACTGGATCCACTGCACTTTGATGTACGGATCAGCTGTCCAACTGAACTGCGACTGGTGGTGGTCGCGCGGCAGCGAAGCGCTGTTACGGCGTACAGCTGACACATTATTATTATTATTATTATTATTATTATTATTACTACGAGAATCAAACTATCAAAAGATAGAAATTAACAGTGATAAAGAGATAAGATTATCGTGCAGCTGGGTGAAAGAGTTACTCACCGGAAAACGTCTAAGCAGCGCAACAAAGGGAATGATTGCAAACGAAGCAAAGATAAGACCAAGACGCGCGGATAAAATACTTACCCATAGAGCAATCGCTGACCTCAGAAGGACTTCCACGAGTGCCAAGAAATGGAAGCCCGGATGTGACATTAACACAAAAACAGTCATATTTGCTGCACTGGCGTGCTTCGAACAGCTCAGGCCTGTCTGCTTGACACTTCAAATAGTGTGGAATCAATGGTTCACGCTGTGTTTCACTGGAATAGGGAGGTGAGTGATCGGTGTCGTTCGAAAGCGCCCTGTTCTCCGTAAGCTTCTGTTGAATGAGTTGCAAGGCTACATAGCAGTTGACTGTGAGAAAGAAAAGGAGTCGAAACGACTATGCAGTGGTGCAAAAAGAGCTAGGCAATGAAAAGTATATTCGAGACGAGTGGAATAGAATAAAATAAAGTCATAAGGCATTGGCACAAATAAACGTTCAACGCGTATGTTGGTGGTTAGTACGCAAATCCAAATTCGTCTCCTCCCGACAGTAACCTGATTAGCGTTGGAAAATAAGGTTGCACGGTGTAAACCAGGTAGAAACTGCCTTCGTCTAAGGTGGTAGAACTACGATATCAGTTGTTATCATGTTCCCGAGCTTGGAGGTTTGAGTGCGAACGTTTTGGCATTATATTAATAATAACAGTTTATTCACTGTTTTCAGAAAACGTACCTGCCAGAGTGTTAATAACGAAAGCATCAAAAACGCCGATAGTTGGATATTGGAATATTGATATGAATCCCCAGAAGTGACATTTGTGCCAGCTGCTTGCTTGCAAAAAACCCGTCTTCCTGGTGCCGCTGTCCATGGTTTTATCTCTCACCATAGCTCTTACACCTTCTTGCTTCCCGTTGTACCCCACACTTCATGCACCCAAGCAACTTGTCCCATCTACCACACTTGTCTCTCCTCTGTTCATTCAAGCCTTTACACATACCTGGTTGGTGAGTCATCACACCACCTTAAAGTCTCCCGCGAAATTAGTGCACAATAGACCATTAGGTGTTATATGGCTAGATTGCCGAACTACCTCCTCGTGGTGCCAGCTAGGTGGTTCGGGATTATCCCTTTCCAGCGAAAGGTTCGGCGGCAGTGTTCCAGGAAATGGTGAGTTTTCGCCTGGCAAGCGTTTTTCCTATAAAAAGCCACATATGTCCGTTTAACAACACTGCGACGTGGCGGATGTGACTCGCCACTAAATAAAGTCATTGCCCCTTACTTCACCTCGCTGGAGCATTGTTATCAGTCAGCTTGACGCTGAATTACTGGGAGCATTGGGTCCTTGTTTGTCAGCCAGCCAAACGAAAGGCGTATGAAACGAGCAATCGGTCACCGGCTCTCAATGGGCGCGATTACCTGAATGCGCCCCCCTGCCTTGTCGGCCAGATCCTTATGACCAAAGGCTCAGGGTGCGGCCCCCTAAGTCAACTACCTTCCTCGGCCTGGGCAACCGGGAAGCTGTAGGCCCACAAAACACAAGAAATGATGGATTTACAACTCACTGCTTACGTCTCTCGCTCTCTGAACTCTCTCTCTCTCTCTGGCCGGGATGCTGGCGGCTGGGCATGCTAAACCATACTCTATCGCACCGCAAACCACGTTCTTTGTTCCACGTTTATTCAACCCTCCAGTTTTTGGCAATCGCCCTTCAATTTCGAGTCACCAAAAGTGCATTGCAAAAAACGGTACTTTTGGCCTCCTCAATGAACCGCTCGAACTCGATCGCACACATTCCAATACCAACAGAAAGGCTTTTATTGTACCCCGATCGCTCTTCAAGCTAGCTACGTTCAATGTTCAATGGCTCATGCAGATTGGTTCACAAGCTACTCTTGCGCGAACCTTGGAAACCCACTCAATCGACGTTTGCTGCCTAACCGAAACCCAGTTACAAAACTCCAGCCTAACGCTGCGATTGCTCTCACCATCCACAAGTTCCATTTGCACATTCACTTTGCGCTTATCTGGAGATGCGACAGCGGCAACCCCTAGTTGCGCAGGCGTAGGAGTTGCGTTAAGCGTATGTGCTATGGCAGTCCTCATTGACTGGTTCCCGGTCAACAGTCGTCTTTGTGCAGTCCGCTTGGAAAGCTCAGTGCGATCGTCCAGCCACGGGACTAGTAGGCGCTGCTTATGCATTGTGGCGGCGTACGCACCGACGGACTGCAGCTCGGACGAAGCTAAAGATGAGTTCTACTGCCAACTCACCGACCTCCGCCAGAAACGCCGCACGGACATGCTGATACTCGCCGGTGACCTAAATGCGCAGGTCGGTACACTAGAGGTTCATGAGCGCGAACTTGGGGATCAACACAGCCACAATACTCGCAGGACGGACAACGGCGATCGACTCCTGCAACTGTGCGCCGACCACTGCTTGTTCCTCTGCAGCACCAATTTCTGATGTTCCTGGTGTCAACGAGCCACCTGGCGACCTCGGGCGCCTGGTCAATCTTAGACGCAAATCGACCACATCGCTGTTAGTTACCCTTGGCGAGGCCGCATAACGGACTGCAAGTCAATATGGAACACTTACCTGGCTTTGGATCATGCGATCATGTGTGCTAAGTTCGTTCTGCGCTTTGGATGCACCCAACATCGTCGCCTGAAACGATTTGACAAAGACAATCTCGCAACTCTAAATGTTCTCCGCGCATTTCAGAACACATTAGCCCCCATCCTACGTTCTCTATCCTCCGATGTTGAGACACACTGGGTACAGATCCAGAGCGCTCCACGAAAGTTCGCTACCCTGGTCTGTGGCTTCACCAGACGAACTGTTAGTCATTGAATCTCATCCCAATCTCCCCATTTAAAGGAAAGTAGTCGAACAATTCCCGCCGGAGCAGAGTACAACGCACTACGCAGAACCATAGTGCTGAGCTCAGACAGCTCCTTAGAAAGAATCGCTAGGTTTGGTGGAGACAGCGCGTCGTTGAGATGAAGTAGCCAGCCTCATCAGGAAACCCCCGCAAACTCTTCCAACGTATTCGCTCCACGGCAGGCAGAAGACCAACAGTGAGTGAGGTATTGCGTGAAAATGAAGGTGGACTAATTCAGTCGTCACCGTCGTCTGGTACGATGGGCAGAGTACTTTGAAGATCAATTCAACTGGCTAGCAGCGCCACTGAGTCTATCTTCCGGGGTTCACAATGCTCCCTGGTGCGTGGATGTTTCGCCACCGACAGAGGTTGAGGTTTCCAATGAGATTCGCATACTAAAGCGCCAAAAGTCAGCTGGCCCAGATGAACTTCCTCCTGCCCTCTTCAAATATGGAGGTTCCGCTTTCACTCGCGAACTGACATCTCTATTCCATCAGATTTGGACTACTGAAACCATACCATATGACTGGAATTTAGCGGACGTTGTACCTGGTTAAAAAAGGGAGACCAGGCCATTTGGTCCAACTATCTTCTCATTTGTGTCGCATCCAAACTGCTCGCTGCAAAACTCTTATGGAGGCTCAGTTGCGTGCGGGAACAGCACCTGATGGACAACAAGCAGAATTTCGTATGGGTCGCCGTTGCTTGGATCACATCTTTACGACCCGCCAGATACTTGGACATCATCATACGTACAGTCAACCAAGTATAGTCATATTCTTTGATATTCAAGCTGCCTTTGACTCTATTGACAGGGTGGCTCTTTGGGACTGCTTACTGAAGCACCTGAGAAGTACATCCGCATTCTCCGTTCTACTGACCATCAAACTTCGGGCCGCGTGCGAGTATACGGATACAGTTCGCCCCCTTTCAGAATCACTAGCGATGTTAGAAAGGGTTGCCCAGCCTCTCCGTGAAAGTAAACATTGTGTTCAATACGCAGCTCAATCCGGCACATTTAGCATTTTTCCTCACCATGTAATGTTTGAGTCCGATGAGAATTACCGAAAAGAATTCCTTACTCAAATTCTGCCTCCCTTGATTCATTCTAATAAATGGGAATTTTTGGATTGCTGAGGATCAGCATTCCCCGTGATTCAGTCAAGCTCTCCAATTTTGTTCAACTTCGCCATGGACGAGATCCTGGATACTGCCCTGGATAACTCTGAGTTCTGCGGTGTTGAACTGCTCCCTGCTGACCGCCTTCGGGACTTAGAGTACGCCGATGACATCGCTGTGATTTGCGAGTCCTCCCAAGCCGCCCAGCATGTGCTGCTCAGACTGGAGATGTCCGCCGCCCAATTTGGGTTGAGCTTTGCCCCTTCTAAATGTAAGGTCCTGTTACAGGACTGGCCAAGCGCATGTCCTTCTCTCACACTCTCGGGGCATCTGTTGGAAGTGGTTAACAAATTCATTTACCTTGGGAGTTGTCTTGACAGATGAGATCTCCCTGCGTGTTGCCAAGGCTAGAGTCGCTTTCGCTAACCTTCATCACCTGTGGTTTCGTCGTGATCTCAAGCTCACTCTCAAAGGACGAGTCTATAATGCTACGGTACGAGCGATTTTGTTGTACGGCTGTGAAACTTGGCTGGTTCGTAAAAGCGATGTTTAGCGGCTATCAGTAGCCGATCACCGCTGCCTGCGAAGCATTGCTAGTGTTCGATGGCAGCACCACTTCAGTAATGAGGAAATCCATCAGCGAGTCTTCAAATCTAACGAACGCCGCCGATCGATTGATAGCATCATCTCACTGCGGAGGCTTCGTTGGCTTGGCCATGTGCTTCGCATGCCTAACTAGCGGCTACCACGAGCCCTATTTGCGAGCACAGATGTGAGTTGGAAGCGACGAAAAGGAGGGCAATGTAAAACTTGCATCCAATGCGTTAAGGCGCAAACGTTGAAGCTGGCTGTTGTCGGGCGTTCCCGACTCCCGGGTTGGGGCCTATAGGACCTCGAGATCACCTGGTTGCAAACGTTGGAGGATATGGCCAAGGACCGTACGCAATGGCGCACTTGCTGCGAGACTTTTTTACTCTAACAGTTGTTTTCCCTTTCACGCTCTTTTTTCTTATGTGTTGTGCCACTCAGACAATTATGTTGTAATTGGCATCTTGTTGAGGATATATATATATATATATATATATATATATGCGACGATCGGCGCATTGGTGTCGGAGAAGAATACAGCATTTGCTGCACATGCTGCAGACCCCAGTGACTTGGGGAAGAGTAGTCAGTTTCGCAGACTTCGACGGCGACTGACCCGAGAGCTCCGTCGCATTAAAAATGCATGGTGGACGGAGAAGGCGAAGCAGATGGAATGCTACGCCGAACGCCGCCAACACAAGGAATTCTTTGACTCCTTGAAGGCGCTGTATGGACCGAGATTGGAGCCGCTGAGGACACTGATCGATGGTAGTTCAGGC